GACTGAGACTAGACTGTGTAGGGAGACAGTAAAGGTTTTTTTAGGAAGAGAGAAGCTTGAAGAAAGCGGTGTTTTCAGGGGATTAAGAGACAACTGCAATAACAAAGACATACAAAGAACGATCGATTTTCAGCTGCAAAAAATCTAGTTCTCAAAGAGCCAGCCAAGTACCCAGTACAGTGAATTTACAAAGAGTTATACCAAAGTACATCATTGAGAATAACTGTATAAAAGAAAATCTTAAGAGCTTCCAGGGAGGGGAAGGCCAGCCATACGGGGCTCGGAAATGAGAGCAGCATGGGACTCTGGACCAGGACTCTGGGACTTGCTGCATGAGCCTCACATGCCCTCCGCCGTCCCACAGGGGCAGCGCTAGCGCGTCAAAGCAGGCTGCGGGGGTAGAGGATACCCTGGGTGCGTGGTCCCCAAACATGGTGGGGGAGTGGAGAGGGGACAGCAGACTTCCTGGCACTGAAGGCTAAAGAGAACATCTCCAACATTTCACGTGAAAATTATTTTCACACTTGAATTCTATACTCAAACTACTAATTGAGAGGATAAAATACATTTTATAAAGCTATCCCACAACTCAAAAGATATACCTTCCGCCAAAAAAAGTAAGGTAGAAAACAAAAAAAATGAGAAAATGAGAAAAATGATCCATGAAACTGTAGCCCCGCGCCCTCCCCTCTGATCCTTACCATTTCCAAGCTGCCACATCCCGTTATGACGCCTTACATTTGCACAAATTTTCCTTCTGCCTGGAATTCCTTTCTGTACTGTTGTTCTCTGCCCCCTCCTCTATTCACCTGGGAAGCCCCCGTAGGCAGTAGGAAGAGCCCACCGCACCGCCTGAGATCCCTTCTGGGATTCCCCAGCAGGTAGGTCAGCTGCTCCTTCTGTTTCCACAACACGTTAATGACCTCTCCATTTCAGGGCTTGCACGAACTATGACGGGGGGCTAGCCCTGCTTCTGTCAAAGAAGGTTTACCAGGACCCAGCCTTGCCCATGTGTCTATGTGCTGCCTACAGCTGCTTGCACATTACAGTGTTAGCACCGAGCAGCTTCCACAGAGACATGCATGACCAGCAGAGCCTAAAATAACCCTGTAACTACCTGGGCCCATACAGAAAGCTTGCTGGTCCCGGCCCACTGCAGCACTGCCCGATGCTGCAATTCCTCCAGCAGCCGGTGAGAGGATGCTGCCTCCTCTCGGGTTCACTGTAAGCCCCCAGGATCCAGCGGGGCGCCTGGCACCGAGCAGACACACTCCAAAACTGGCTGATGGCTAACCCCAGCACTCCCAACACCAGAACCCAAGTCAGAGCTGTAGTTCCCAAACCGTGCAAGGCACAGAGGCAAGCGAACTGGAATATTACAGCACAGTTTAAATTGTCAAAGGAAACAAAGCAACATCACTGTCCATCACTGTCAGAACCTTTAGCTCAAGGTAGTTCAGTTTCAACACCAGCCCACGCTACATTCCTCTCAATGAACTCGTATCTTGCAAAGACAGGGTCACTGGTTACTGTGATAAAACACAGGTACCATCCACTCAAAAAAAAAAAAAAAATGTAGAAATGGAAACGAGGGTGGCAGTGTCCGACCTGTTTCCAAGGTCTGAGAAGCTATGCAGTGCTCCACAGGTTCACATAGGTGGCTTTTTAAGAATAAAAGAAAAATGGGATTTTTCTTTTAAGCTGTTATGCATTATTTTTCCAAACTGCTACTCAAGTGTCAGGTCATAAATACTAAGTTGTTTGGAATTAATTAGTACTTCATAAGAAGAATTGTTAGGCATTTCTTTTGACCTGGGGGCACTGTAGAAACAATGAAACACCAAGAGCACGGTGAACCAAAAATGTGGGAATCTAAGAGGCCAGCTCAACTGCCCAGGGATCCCATTATCATACTCTAATCTGAATGTGCACGCAGGAAAATAATCCTGAATGTAACTTTGCTGTGTTATAAGAATAGATCTTTGTGGATTCTGCAGGGTAGTGTTTCCCCAGAAGAACTGCAGTTACTTTTTGGTCTGCGACTTTTTTTTCAGGATCCTGACATTCCTCTCCTTCAGTCTTGGTCATCTTCACTCTAGTGAGGACTTCCCTGTTAATTGAAGAGCCTGCTCGCTGTCAACTTCAGCATGTCAAAACAAATTTGAACACATCACTCTCGTGCTTAAAATCCTTTGAAGACTCCCCGTTGCTCCAACATCAAGTTCCTGGCCAGCCTGGTGGACAAAACCCTTCCAACAGTCTTCTCCACTCCACCCTGCAGCGGGCTGACTACCTCCAGCTCCCCACACTCCCCACAGGCCTCGGGGTCTCCCCTCAAACCACTGCCGCTGTGGAATGTGCCCCATGATGTTCTCCACACCTCCAACTCCTCCTGTGCTCCACGCTCCACCGGACGCTCTACCACACTGACCAGTGACTTCTGCACACTTGCCTCTCCCCTCTGCTGGGCTGTCAGAGGGCCTGGCATGCAACAGCCTTCGATAAATGCTAACAATGTCTACCACACAAATGAACTTGCTTTTGCCTTCTCTCACAAGGGTGAAACACCCTATTATTATGGTAAAGAAACGACCTGAAGGACACTCCTTCTTGTTCCAAAAACTGCCAAGGGATCTTTAACATGTTGGGAAAATGCACAAGAGCAGCTTACCTTCAAAGCCAATCAGGAACAGCTCTATTCCCCAGTACATGCTTCTCCACACTCCCACCAAGGGCAAGACTTTTTTTTTTTAAATTTTAATCTCTTCCAACTGTTAGGCCATAAATGGCATTTCCTTGATTATGGAGTCAAAAATACCTTTCAGAGGTCTACTGGTAATCTGCAATGCTTTATATGTAAGATGTTTATTCTGTCTTTTGCCCATTTTTCTAATTAGATGTTAATCTTTTCTTCACTGCTTGAGAAGAAACAAATCCCAACACCATACCATAGTACGCATATGAACTGTTACATGCATTCCAAGTATTTCCAGTTTGTTTTCTTACTTTTCAGTGAGGTTTCTGTTTGACTTTCATTAAGTCAGATTTCCCAGTTTTGTCCTTTATGGTTTCTGACCATAAACTCTTTCTCAGGCCAAAGCTGTATAAATTGTCACCTATATAGTTTTCCAGTACATTGAAGGCTTTTGATATGTGAAACTTTAACCCATATGAAATTAATTTTGGTGTACAACAAGTGTCAGAAACCCAGGCTCCCTCCAGCCCCCAAAAGTTACACTTATCCTAACACCATTAATTAAATAATCCGTTCCTTCCCCCATCGACTAGAGATGCCCCGAAGAGAGCATTCCTTCTCCATGTCCTTGTGGGACTCCCTTAGCCCACTGCTCTTTCACCCCATATTTCTTCACTGAACAGCATTATCTATCCTGTGGCTTTCATCATTCACAACTCATGATTTCCAAATCTGTATTTCCAGGACTGGCCTCTTCCCATTTACAGATTAACCATCTGCCTACTAGGCAACTGCCTGCTGATCTACCCACATCCAATTCAAATGAGGTCCTTCAGGAATGACAAAATATTTTGATGCTACATATCCACTTAGATATCTCACAGATCCCTCAAAATCTCCACAGGTATAAAATTACACTCACGTTCTCTTCCCGACCTGCTCTCTTATGCCCCAGTCCTTGTTCGTGGAATCAGTCTTCTCCTGGGTCACCCTTAACTCCTCCTTCTTCCCCAGCTCGCCCACCTACTCGTCAGTTTTACCTCCTAAACATGACCTGTCTTGCTCCCTATCCCTCACCCTTCTCTCCACGTCCGCTGTCTGGCAGGCCCTCAGTTGAATCACAGAGTAATCCACCTCATGGCCTCTGGCTTCCCCAGTGACTGCCTGGCTTTTATTAGCTTCTCCATCTCTAACCCTCACTGTCCCTTCAAGCTCCAGGCCAACGGTCAGGAGGCTGTCTGACCAACTGCTCAGACTGCAGGTCCAAACTCAAACTTCGGCCCCACAATCTGATCCTCCTCTGCGGCTCCCTGTCCTTGGGGCATCTTTGCCTCCTAGTTCTCGCAGACCATCACACCCAGCTGGCATTCTCTTAATGATCCCGCCGCACTTTGCTCAATTTCCACTTCAGGCATTTATTGTAGCATACCAGGTATCATGGAGATTATTCTTTCCTTTCCTCCCATCCTCTCTTCCCATTAATTATTAGCTCCTAAAGAGCAGAGATTTAGTTTTATAACTCTCTTTCACCTAAAAGGGCTTTATATGCACTATATATTCAAGCTCTATTTAGTGAACTGAACAAATCCACCCAAATGGCATCTTTGGTGAGGACTGAAAATATTTTGATGACACCCAATTGTTTCTTTACATTCTGAAGAGAAAGCTGAACGGTATGCTTTTGAATGCACCTGTCTGCTACAGAAAAATTTATGAATAAAAAGATAAAATTGAGTCAAATTGTTGGATGCTTAAAAAAAAAAAAATAGAGTAAAACTATCCTAAAACCCCTTTCTAAATCCTAAGAGGAAAAAAAATTACATAATAGTTTTGTGTGGTTGAAATGCTGGTTTCAGCTAAGTCTACTGTGATAATACAGAATTTACAAATATTATTTTTCAGATATCATGCATTGTTGATGCACTGTTTGCTACAGGCAGTCACTGTTTTAAGTTCTTTAAATGCAATATCAGATTAAATCCCCATAACCACCCGATGAGCTCAGTATCATTATACTCCTCTCCTTTATAACAAGGAAAATGAGGCACAGATAGGTTTTTGACACTTGCCTGAGGTCACACAGCTGGTAAGGGGCAGAACCTGGATCTGAATCCAGGCCTGATTACCAACTTCATCTCTAGACCATGACACATAAATGAAAAACGTGGAGTGGAAAACCCACTGAACCAGAGTCACGAGTCCTGGGCTCCAGTCCCTGGTTCATCACAGCCCAGGTGGCAGGTATGTGACCTCGGACAAGTCTCCTAACATCTCTAAAATCACACAATGATGACCCAGGGCCTACCTTCCCTACTTTCCACGTGCTAAGAAATGCAGAGCTGTTTTATTCTGAGGACGTCCTGCTTGTCACCTTGAACCAGCAGATCTGGAATGCCATGAGGGACGCTGCTGGCTGAACGCTGTCTCTGGGGGAAAATTCCACCTGCTCTCCCAAGCACTGCCAGCCATCACATCATGCCCGAGGTCAAACAACCTATGTTTGGGGAACAAAAGAGCAAATGGCTACCACCTTCCTATTCTCCTCGCCACTCTGAACTAGATTCCTAATTGGTTAGCTCTTTAACTCAGCAGAGGCAAGCTCAAACCCACTCTGAGGACCAGCCAGATGAAGTGAGCGAGGCTGGCCACTGGGAAGGAATAAGGCGCGCACAGCTGAGGTGGGTAGCCTCCAGCTCGCACTTTACTTCTATGCAACCACCAGGTAGGATCATGGGTCCAGTACAGTCACAGACCTTCCAGGTTTTCGAAAAGGGACAGGGATGCAGGTTTGGTTTGGTTTGGTAACGTGAAATCGCCTTATTTTTAAATGCTGGCAACTAATTCTTTATGAAACACTATGTGGGCCAAAGAAAACACATTTGTAGGCTAAGTACAGTTCGTAGGGCACCAGTTAACAACCTGTTTTCAAAATGTATTGGCATTAAAAAATTCTTGACTTGCTGTTGAAATAATCTTAAAATATAAACTGTTTGAAGATTTATATTTCAGTGCACAGATATTGACCAAAATGTGCCTGAATGTTTTCTTAGCATTCTTTTGGGGTTGGAATCTGAAAGCTCTCTTCTCCGAAAGAATTCAAACGGTCCTTTTCCTTATGGTATTATTTAATTCCAGATCTCAAAATCCTAAGCATTATTTTAGAATGCAAATGCTTCTCAAAAGAAAAAAAAAAGAATTAAAACAAAATCTTTAGCTTTCGACCATAATCAACAGCATCTCTTAAGTATTTGGAAGGACAGTACTTCACCTTACGTTCACTCGAAACTTCTAAATAGAATGGAATAGAAAATGGAAAATACAACAGAAAGAACTGGTTTCTGGCCAAACTGTTCTGGAAAGGGATGTTTTGTGGGACGTTCTGTCAAGAAAGCAGATTCTACAGACGAGAGACGTGTGAGCTTGACATTGATCCTGATTACAGAACATATCAGGAAAGGGACCCTAAGCCAATGTACCTCAGCCCCACCTCACCCCCTCACTTGATGAGGCTGATCTGGGAAAGCAAGCCCCAGAAACAGACAGGAGGTATTTGGTTTGAACAAGATCTCTTCTAAATGCCCGAAAGATATTTATGAGCAAGATGAAGAGATACAGGTTGTATACAAAACAGTAAAGGGGGTTCTCTCACCACCACGTGCTAAACCTTACTCGAGGGGTGCCAATTATTGGATGATGTCAACCTGGACAAAGATTACCGACAGAAATGGCACAGTTCTGTTCTTCTTGACCTTTTCATTAATGAACTGGATGCTGACACAGGACTCACATTCATCAAATCTGTGGATTAAAAAAATGGGCAAAATAGCAAATATATTGCATGTAATAATGAGGATTTTAATAAATTAATCCAATAAACTAGTACAAAAGACAAATTTGACACTGATAATTTCAGAGTCCAAACTAAAATGATGCTGATGCTGATAATGGCATCATGTGCAGAAAATGAACAAATATAGGTTGGAAGAGACATGATTTAGTGGCAACACGTGGGAAAAACAGAAAAGACTGATCAGTGAAATGGGCCAATAATGGAATGTAACTGCCAAAACAGTAAAAACGAGGACAGCTCTTGTATCTCCTCATTTTATCACAATGCCTAAAATCCTATCCTCCAGTGGCATTAAAATGGGAGGATTCACTCTTAGTCTGAAAAATTAACAGGTAGGCAATCCAATAGTAAGGTAGTCTTAATATTAAACATAAGCAATTACTATCTTTATTACTGCCCAAATTATTATAAGTCCTTGCTTCAATATAAATCTCACTCCACATATTCTTAACCCATCTCTCCGTGGGTGTGCCTACCCCCGATTCTTTCTCAGCTTTACTGAGGTATAACTGACAAAACTGGATACATCTCAAGTGTACAACCTGATGATGTTGATATACACTGTGAAGTGACTACCGCAATCAAGTTAATTTACATGCCTATCACCTCAAACATGCTTCAGATCCATTCTCATAGCAATTTTCAAACATTCAATACACAACTAACTACAGTCACCATGCTGTCCATGAGACCCCCAGAACTCCCGCATCTCCTAACTGAAAGTTTATACCCTGTGACCGACATCTTTAACTCAAGCAGGTACTTCGCCCCTCTGACTTGACCTACTCCCTATTTTACAATTACACCCACACTTGGGGACCCCTTGAGCATTTAGCAACTTAAGGGGAAGGCACCAGCAGATCTGTGTTTGGGAGCTCTGAACACACAGAATGCTTTTGCACTGAGTTTAATCAGAAGCTTCAAGAAGGGCACGGCCCACTGGGCATGAGAAGAGCTTGCAGTCTTCACCACTCCACGTGTCGCCACCTTGACATGATGGGGAAAATTCTGAAAAACTTGAGGGGCCGGGCCTGCTGGGGCTCCTCACTGGTCTCTGGATTCCCAAGCCCTCCATGGCACAACTGGGAGTCAACTTCCTGAAATGCTGGTCTCACATGCCTGATATTTTCCATCACTCTCCCTGGCCTACTGGAAAAGGGGCCAACTTTAGCATGAGAGGATTTCTACTGTTTCACGCCACCCAAACTCCCACTCCCACCTCTGCCCACATCACCCGTGCTCGGGTCCCACCAAAACTGGGCCGTCCTCTGTGTCACTGCACATGCTGTGCCCTCTGCCCAGAATGTCTGTCCCACTCGTCCTTGTCCATGTAACAGACACCAACCCATCCTTCCAAACTAAGCTCACACTGTCCCACATCCAACCTCCGCCACTGTCTTTCCTTATTGGTCTCCAGAACGGAGACAAATTTCAGTTGCCATTTACCATCTAGATTATCACTGCTGTCCACCTTGTAGTAAAAGATATTTCTTATTGTCTCTACCGAAAGCACTAAGACAGTGGGCAGATAAGACCCACTCAGCAAGGTACGTGACCTCCACTGCCCCTGCAAGCATTCGAGCTTTTGATCCCAGCAATACATCCCTTGGAATGTGTGAGTATAAGACTATTCGTCAGTGAGCTGAAAAGGTCCCAAACAGAGACATCTGTACTTTTACTGAAGCTGGCGTCTGAGAAAGGGCAAGTGGGCAATGTCTAGCCAACAGCCTCATGTCTGCACGTCAACACAGCTTGGCTGCTCTCTACTTGCCAGTGCATGCTCAGTCCCTCTCACTAAGAGAGATAAAGGGCGTTTTTTTCTTTCGGAAAAGCGATCGCCCCTCAACCAAAAAAGAAAGCTGACTGCTGGTTCCAGTGGGGGCGGGATGGAGGGGGTAAGGTGGACCATGGAAAGCAAGAGTGTAGACAGAACAAACGTGAGATAAATGATGAATAAAATCTTGGCTCTGCTGGTGCTTCCAACCTGTGACCCGACTTAACCTTCCATGCCTTTTACACAGGCACAAGAAAAAAGGATTCGTGAAACCATCTTCTTTATTAGGCCGGATGAGTGAAAAAAATGAAATGCAAGGTCACTGCTTGTCACCAAAGTTCTGAGGCTTCCTTCGTGACTGCTGCATCTACTTTACATCAGAATTTGTCCACTGTTACCAACTTAAAAACTGTCCTTACATTAGGAAATTACAAAATTAATGTCGTTTTACATATTTTAAGCTGCATGCTTTATTGCCCTCATCCTCAGTAAGATTACGTGCTAGAATTTCTCAAATGGGATACCCATGAATTCCATTCGTCCTAAATTTATTAGTAGGAACCCATCTCAAAAAGGCATGTCCCAGGGGCGCCTGGGTGGCTCAGTTGGTTAAGCGACTGCCTTCGGCTCAGGTCGTGATCCTGGAGTCCCGGGATCGAGTCCCGCATCGGGCTCCCTGCTCGGCAGGGAGTCTGCTTCTCCCTCTCCCGCTCCCCCCTCTTGTGCTCTTTCTCTCTCTCACTCTCTCTCTCAAATAAATAAATAAAATCTTTAAAAAAAAAAAAAGGCATGTCCCTCACAGAAGATATACCACAGCAATTTTAACACTATTAGCCTAGGATAGTCTCACACCTGTATAGTGTAAATGATCAGTAAATCCTCAGTCAAGGAAACAACCTAGTCTGCTCCTCAAGTCATTCCCGGAATAAGCAGGAGGCAATGTTTGTGTTCACTGAAAAGTAACATCACAACAAAGTTTCTCTCAGAATTGCAGGAGAGAAAGTAAGGCCTGCTTGACCGTCAGCTGTGGCAACACCGTTTACTGAGTGTGTGCGGGTCTCCGTAATGGCCCCTTCCCAGGGGTGCAAGTGAAGGGGGCATGTCTGTCCTGGGCACTGTCTGTATCTGATGTCTACCCACTGCCTGGGGGGAGAAAGGGCCCCTATCAGTTACGGAATGAGTGAATCACATTTCATTCTAACTCTACAAAAGGAAAGAAGATCAGATCTTGACCTTCAAGAACTTCCCATACAGGACTATTAAAGACAAAAACAAGGCGCCTGGGTGGCTCAGTTGGTTAAGCGACTGCCTTCGGCTCAGGTCATGATCCTGGAGTCCCGGGATCGAGTCCCGCATCGGGCTCCCTGCTCGGCAGGGAGTCTGCTTCTCCCTCTCCCGCTCCCCCCTCTTGTGCTCTCTCTCTCTCACTCTCTCTCTCAAATAAATAAATAAAATCTTTAAAAAAAAGAAAGACAAAAACACAGAAGGAAAAATTAAAAAAAAAAAAAAAGCCTTCGATTCAAAATGAAATTTCTTGGTAATGCAAAGCATTTCAGTTTTAAAGTAAATAAAAACTCGCAAAATATTTCCCAGTGACCAAAAGCAATGAAGCATTTTGTCAGAATGTCCCGAAATGCTTTTCACAACAGTATGATATAACTTGTAAAACAAGTTATTCTGCTTAGAAATTCTGTATTAATAGGAACATAATAGTGGCCTTAATCATATCAGATTGGTGAGGTCAAGGTAACATTTATCAAACACCCGCAGGCACCTTGAGCTGGATATTATTATTCCCATTTTACAGATAAGGAAAGAGACACAAGACACAACTTGCCCAAGTTCACATAACCAGTAAATGGGAAATAGCATCTAATCTCATTCTCTTAACTATATAACATGCTTTATATAAAGGAAATCAGGAAAATGATTAATAAAAAATAACAGTCACCTGTAATTTCAACACAGAGATAATCTCACCTAACATTTGGTATATAAATTTTCCTGGCATTTTACCAAATTGTATATACAGACAGACACACACAAACACACACACAAGCTCACTCTCTCACATTCACCCTCCAAAACAAATAGCCAAAAACCTCAGATCAATTTACACATGCCGTTTTGCAATCTGCTTTTTCAGTCTGCAAATTCTGATTTTCTTTCACATCAATAAATTACTCCCCTACCTCACCGCTAATAAATAAAGGGTTCTCTATTACATGTACACACCACAATTTATGTAGCCAATCTCCCTATTATTAAGCACTTAAATTGTTTCTAGCTTACAACTACCATAAACAAAACTACAAAAACCATTTTTGCAAATTTGAGGTTGTTTTTTTGTGTGTACTTTGTGGGGAAGTCACCAGAATCTGGAGATATGTTTTTCCCAAACTTCAGAGAGCACCCTCTTCCCAATTTTGAGACACTCCACTAAGCAGACTTCCCACCAAGAATCACCGTGGGGGAGAAAGCCACTGACGGAATATGGTATCTACATGCACTGTGCAGGTAAGAACCACTGCTATAGATTGGTCTCTGTACACATGCTTATTTCTTTTTCCTTAGTTTAAATTCCCAGTGATGGAAATGCCTGACTAAGGGACATGGCACATTTTTGAGGCTTTCCATGAGTAATACAAAATTGCCCTCCTGGAAAGCTCTAACAGTTGAAACACCCACCAGCAGCATTTGAAAGTGACAATTCCCCAAACCTTCCAGTTGGCTAGACTTGTTTTTATTTTTTATTTTTAAACAATCAAATCCCTATATAGCCTTAAGTTTTAAAAACAGTGAAACTATTAGTAAAACAGCAAACAATTCAGATCAACAAATTTTAAAATACATACGTTTTCAAATGCAAAATATAAAACATTAATGGTATCAAATCCCAGCAGACTGAGAGTACAGAATAACAATTAGAAAATTTAGTGAAACCAGGCTCAGAAAGGTGTCAAGCTAGTAAGTAAAACCCCACATCTTCACTTGCCCATCTGGCTGATATTAGGCTTAATATTTGAGGCTTTGATAGCAATAAGCCATACTTTTTAACAAAAAACTTATGAAATTGTACATTCTTTCAAATTTTATAAATACTGTACTATCTTATAGCTAGTATGGCAATCTGAAGTTGTTAAAATCCTGTAGATATTCATTTATCAACAAATATCTGAATGCCTACTATGGGCTGGGCAATTTTCTCTGTTGAGGACATACTGGTGAATCCCACAAAGTCCCTGCCTTCAATGAACTGCTGTTCTGGGGGCGGGGCCTCAGGATCCTGCAGGGAAGAATCAGCAAATCATGGTTACGATGCCAGTCTGGAACCACTGGATTCTTGGGCAAATTATACCATCTCTAGGTCTCAGTTTCTTCATCAATAAACTTAAGAAGTTGACCAGATGACCTGAGACCTCTTCTGGCTCTCAAATTCTAGACTTTCTTTGGTTTTGTTTGAATGTTTAAGTTTTTATTACTGATAAGAGCTTTGCATTTTAAGCTCTATATAGTTCCACAAAAGCTGAATGTCGGATCTACAAAAAAGGTAATTTTACATCAACAGTAAAACTCTGGTGGATCCAGCCATCTTCAAAGAATCAACACAGGACAGATTCCAATTAGATGAAGATGTATGCTCCCAACTTTAACGGTTTCTTTGAAGAGGTTTCTAAAACGCCCTTGCCTCCTTCCCTTCTGTACTGTACTATAAATACTGAGGATGGGATGTGAAACAGGACCTCATTGGAATGGCAGTGGCCAGGAATGGCTGGCACCCCAGCTTTCAGGTGGCACCTGGCGCCCTCAGGGGATACAGCATGGAGTCCTGGTGGTTTCTCACTCCTCTGCAGGTTACGCCCACCCTCAACTCAACAGACATGCACGGTTCTGTCTGCAGAATGTCTACAGCTCACAGCCCCATTAGCATTTCTAATATTAGAAATGGGAAGCACTACTACTGCCACCACTTGTTATTTTCCACCAGATGTTCCTGCCACCACCATTTCAAGTGTCCTCAGATCCAGAGTCTCCTTGCAGGCTGCTTCAGACAGCAGTCAGAGGAAGGCAGAGCAAGGGGCCTCAGCCTCCCAAGCCCCCCTCTAGGGAAGCGCCACACACAGACGTTCAGGAAGTGATAGCGCCTCCTTGTGGTCTGTCAGGATACTGCCACTAAATAATCGAGATAGATTCTCAATTACAGGCACAGAGGAGGATTCCAAGTCGTCTTCT